GATGATATTCTTTATGCCAGCACGTCGGCAGAACGTACTGCACCTGCGCGAAACCCGTAATGTATTGTACATAGCATTTTCAATTGGCAGAATGTCTCATATAAGATTGTCTTCGCTCATATAAGGTTAGCATTTTGACAGTAGTTTCCAAATTTTGTTTTGAACAGAATATCCTCTGCAACAGGAAAAATTCTGATGCAACGTTGACCAAAAACCCAATGAAAACGCGAAAATGCGGAGTTCTGGGCAGGCGCAGTACATGTACGTTCTGCCGACATGCTTTTTTTGCCTTGATGTTATGATTCACATTGTTGATCTGTAGATAAATGATAGAGTTGTTTTAACGTCTGTCTTCTGTTTTCTGCCAACAGAGGACCGGAAGTTGTTTGTGGGCATGCTCGGAAAACAGCAAACAGAAGAAGATGTGAGAAGGTTATTTGACCCGTTCGGAACAATAGAGGAATGTACCATTCTGAGGGGTCCTGATGGACAAAGTAAAGGTAAGTTTAGAAACTTCCTACAATGTATCTCATAGATATAACCTACAGGTACAGTACATAAGGAAAGATACAGGAAATTTATAGAGAATCTTCGTCCTCTTAGTACAGTTTTAGGCCTTTTATACACAAAATGCAGGAAGAAAAACACACCACAGTTTCAGCACCAAGGACATAAGGAAAGGTACAGGAAGTTTATAGAGAGTCTTTATCATCTTTCAAAAAAGATCTATCTCAAAAAGATACTATAGATACAATTTTAGGCCTTTTATACACAAAATGCAGAAGAAAACACACCACAAATTCAGCACCAAGGACAGACACTGAAAGATTTGAGGGAACCTTTGTCATCTTCCTAGAACGGCTCATCACAAATGGCATGCACTTTGAGTAGTGTTGAAGGCCTTTCAATGCTCCCCTTATACCTCCTGCCATTAGAGCCGGTGCAAGTGCAAGTATAATACATGGCCTTGTGTAGATGACGGATGGCCCTCGCTGCCTGAAACATTACAGTGACAAACGGCTGCACCACTTATCAGCCACTGGGCATCCCCCTGTTTAAAAACCAAGCCAAAGGGAGAGCGTTAAGCACCGGCGGTGGTCCCAGTAGCACCGGGCCGGGCTTCACATCTGGGTGACGGAGTGTGGTGTGATCAATACCTGTTGTCGGGACAATTTTCACTGGTGGGAACATGGCGTGGGGGAATATATCCTCTTGTTTTACTGCCCAGTTCAGAACTATCCTTCCCACAGTTCCAGTTCCTCTACTTATAAAGCCAGTTCAAATGAAGTTTGTCTCATTGCACTCTAATATGTGTACATCCACCTGGATTTTTAAAACAGGAAAGCTGGTGCCAACATTCTTGTATCCCTCAATGCCAGCATACAAATGTGTAGTATCAACTGTCATTATTCCTAGTACCCTAACACTGTCAAATGAAAAGACATTGCTATCAGCCTTCTCAAGAATGTCTTAAAGACATCTGAAGTTTGCATACCTTGGAGATAATTGAAGCTGCATTAGTAGATGTTTTGAAATTCACTGTTCTTTTCTCCTGTAAGTCCCAGTTCTTCATTACCCAGCAGTTACCATTTCACTGATCTTTTTAATAAAAATATGTAGTCCTAGAAAGAGACCTCTGGATGAACTATGGCCAAGAGCTATGGCAATAAATCTCCGGGTGGACGTGCTATTGGCAAAAGTAGAACATACTGCCAAACCAAGTATTAACATTTTTTGCTCCAAGTCAAATCTGTCCAATACGTCTAGATCAGATAGGATCCTGCCAAAGTTTTGCAGCGCTCCTGCCTTAGACAGGCGCCTTTTCCACCCAAGGCTAGAAAATTTCATTTCATCCTCCTCCTCCCTAATAATTACATCTAGGAAATGTTTTAGAAGACCCACTGGGCACAAAACATACTTTTCTACTGTACATGTAACGTTACAGTATGATGATAAGATGTAGGCTTCGTACAAGTTTTGCAATATGAATATACACACTCACTCAATCCTCTATCCTCTTCTAATATGAATATTAACAGTATTAAAATTATGTAGTAATTGTTTTGATCAGAGAAATTTAATGGACTGAAATTTTTTTAGTCTTCATTTTGGCCTTTGTGTCAATCAGCTGTAACAAACAGCTAAACAGCTCAGTTTAAGTCTGTTTAAGACTGTATTGTGAAGTTTATTTTTCATTTACCTTTTTTTTCAACATTGTCATGAATACCTAAGAGTACCGGTAGAAAATGTACTTGAAAGGGCAATGTTTTTAAAATCCAATTTTCTTCATTGAAAATCAAGGTTCTCGTCTGAACCGCCTGTCAATCAAGTAACAGCTGTTGCCATGACAACCCTTCTCAGTCTAGAGTTATAAAGTGCAGAAAAAAGTTAGAAAGTCAACTGTAAAACTTTGATCTCATTGGAAGCTTTTTCTAGTTGGTTGTCTGATCCACCTGTCAATCAAGTGAGGGCTGTTGCCATGACAACCCTTCTCAGCCAACCGTCCCCTCTGTGACATGTCTGTGCGGGGACTTCACCACGATGGAATTTACAGGGATTAGGAAACCCATTGATCCAGTCCTGCTTCGATAATTGCGGAAAATTCCCCACAGAAAATGTGAAATTAAAGCCAATTTTTTCCCCAATTTTTGGGACGCATTGGAAGATGACCTGGCTGTCGTATACACCTGTGATTTCAGCCCAGTTCCTTGTGGATTTGCAATCTTTGCTGTTGACAGTCTAAACTCACAACCTGTGACCTGGAGTCCATCGATTCGAGCTGACGGTTACTGACCTATATAAAATGACAATTCAATATAATTACGTTTTAATGAAATTAATCACAGTGACAAATTTCTTTTCAGCCGCATCAACTGAAGGTTAATAGAATGACTCTTTGAATAATTCATCACAATGCGTCAAACACTTCACAACTGTGTAAACCTTCTGCAATCAACAACAGAAGGGCTATCAAAATGCTTAATTGAAACAAAGCCTAGTTCATAAACATTACAACTGTTTTATCGTCAGGGCTCATAATGGAATAAAACCAAGGATTATCCTTTTAAGTCCACGTGTTGAACAGAATTTCAATTGCTCCAAACTAGGTCAAAAATTCGCAAGGTCACAAATGTTATCACTCCACCAATCAGGCTACAGATCAAAAAACAGGTTGGATCTAGTTTTAGCACTATCCTGTCTTAGCAGATCACCCTAAAGGAGGTAGAGAATCTTCCCGTTGCCGTTTTAAGGATCTCAGATTAGAATAGCAGTCTGCGGGTCCATAATTAAAAAGAACTGACTCGTGCCGTACTTTATTTAGACACTTCATTTCTCCGGCCAGTCGACCATAGTGTTGATATTCATTACCTCAGCCTGTCCAATTTACCCGCCGAGGAAGCAGTGAATCAGAAAACGTGCCAAGGAACCGCCGATTGCCGAGCTCGAGATACAGAAAATTGATTTTATGGAACAGGATAATAATGAGACAGACTTAGTAATTTCAATTTCCAGATAGACGTTTTCATTGAAAGTGTTTCGATGTGGAAAAAGTCCAGATTCGGGTAATCAATTCTGGGACACGTTTGCTGTTTGATAACCGCTATCCTGTGTGAGGCAGAGGTGGCGTAATAAATTACTGCAGTTTGATATTGGCCAATACATGGAATTAGGGGAGGAAATATGGTCTGATTTGAAGAGACCCTTCGCTGAGACACGGAATTGGTGATACATCAAAATCTGATGGAGAGAATTAGACTGTCATAAACATCACTCATGATTCATGGATTAGATAAACGGTGGACTTGATTTTTCATTTTCTATCCAAGCTGTTCATGTTCAGTGTCAACCGAGCTATAAAGTGTTGCATCAGAATAAGTTTGAGTCGCTGTAAGTGCATTTACCTTCGTCATAAGGAGGTGATACCTGCGTTGTTTGCAAGTTCATTGGTTAAACGATCTCTCTCTTCCATTGTGTTCTAAGCAGTGCATTGGAAACATGCTGCAGCTGTGCATTCAGTCTTTCTTTCTTTCTTGAAACAATGCTTTCTGATATTAGAAGCAATATAAAGAGTTGTTTTATAGTACTGCAAAGATAGCATACACTGTACATGTGGTAGTATTACATGTACATGTACAAACATGTATGTTGGACATCTTCCAGTTCTGAAAAACATCGATCGACTAATTATTTTTTGATACAGCATTTGGTTGCTCTCTTTATTCCATACAAGTGTTGTATGTCTTAATCATTGGAAATTATGGGCATATTGATTTTGTTATATCTAAGTGCATTGTATGCACTTTGCAACATTACCTTGCAAAAATGCAATAATTCACACGTTAGTGTACCTTTTCAATAGGTCTGTGGATATTAATATGATATTATTTCACACCAACTCCAATTGATAAGGTGCAGTACGTGTCATGTCAAATGTGCACTCAGAACAATTGCACAAGATCATATCCAAATATGAAATTCTATGCATTGTATCAGGAACAATCTCTGAATAGCAATGTAAAACAGTATGAGTCATATAACTTTTAATGGAATTATGACAGATTTAGAGTAAAAAAGTTACACCTGTAAGTTATTTTGCCATTTGCATTGTATCAAAAACAATGATAACCGAAAGGTTCTGACACAATTCAATCCCAATACATGACACAATCCAGTACTAGCCGATGATACAAATCTACAGTTGGTATATGGCAGTGCTCATAAAATTTGATCAATCAATCCACTTTGAGAGAAATGTACAGCTGAACTCAAAATGAGTCAATGATGGAATCGAGGTGCAAGGAAAACATTTGGTAAACATGTATCATCAAGACAAAACTGCCGACCTAAAACTTCATGCGAGCAATGCATCAATACAGAGAACTCTGGCATAAGATGTACTCGAAAAGTAGAAAGAGGGGTACAAGAGGGGGTTTTTGAAGAGGATAGAAATTAAAGTTGAGATCAGCTACAGTGCCTGCGTGCTGAGCATCTAATGAGGTAGAGAAACAGATTGGATATCTGGTCAGGATGATGAGAAGGGCACAGAGCTGGCTCCAATCCCAGATCCAACATCCCGCCACCCCGCAGAAACACACAAAGAACTCTGTCCTAAAACACGGCCTTATTCCGGTGTCAACTTCTGCAACCACAGATAAAGATAATTAGAGCGGAACAGATTTTGATACCTGGAGGGGTTTTTTCCCCAGCAATGTCTTTGTGAAAACCTCTCAAATTAATTCCCAGGAGCCCGGATATAATTCATAATATTAATAACCTTTACCTTGATATTTGACGGAGAGGATTTCTATACCAACGGATAGATCAGGCTGCTTATAGAAGTGAATAGTTGATTTAAGGCTTAATTTTTCTTGTCAGTTCTGTCAATAGTGGTAATATAATGTATGAGATAATAAATTTGAGACATACAGTACATACACTGTGATTGTTGTCTATTGTTTTAAACAGTAAAAAGGGCAAATTTTAATTCTAATTGCTTTGAAATGTCATAAAACAATGCGATGAAATCGAGCAGTTTGAAATTTGTGTCAGAAAAGTGTTTGTAATGACTGACAAAGCTGTATGAGATTTCTTTGTGTGCTCAATTCATAATAATTTCTGTAGTTTAAGAAAGTCTAGATCAATGGAGCTCAATTAAGAGCATGTAGTGGTCTGAACCATGAGGTTATAGGTTTGAAGCCTAGCCAGTTATTTGGACTTTGTCCTTATACCGGAAAAACAACTATCCAAGTTTTGTCCTGTGCCAAAAATGTGCTCACCACAATAGAAGTTGTTCCGCTCTAAAACTTTACGAGACTCAGTTTTACAGTGCAGGGTACTCCTGTGGTCTGCATTATGGTTCTGGAGTGTTAATCTGTAAAATGTCAGCGTGGATATGTATTCATGGTATTGAAACTTTTATCAGCTGAAACACCACTGTAATATTGATACAGACTTAGAGGTGCAGTAAAGATACTTAAATAGAGACCATCGCTCTTACAATCCACACATTCGGTATATTGCATAGGAAAGGTTGATCGATGGTTCCCCTCTTTTGGATTATGTGGTATGTGCCAGTAAAGTTTAGGCATGCGTATGACATTTATTTTGTGGTCTAAGGGGTAGTAAGGTAGTGTCGTTGACGTGTTTCTCAATGTACTAAAGGTTTTTGTGTGTTGTCCCTTTATTTCAGTCTGTACCTCTCTCAAGTTTTGACATGTGTATGACTTTTATTTTCTAGTATGTGGCACAATAAATGTACAAGTCATGAAGTACATGTATCTCTAAGTTATGTTTCTGTTCTAAAGTTTTTTGTGTGTTGTTCCTTATTTCAATCTGTGCATTTGCCAAGTTTAAAGACTTTTATTTTCTAGTCTGTGACATACTAAATTTACACATAGTGTCTGTTGTGTTTCTATGATTGTGTACCAAAATTTTGTGTATCTTAATTTTATTCCAGACTGTGTCTTGTCTAGTGTATACTTGTGTATGATATCTATTGTGTAGTCTGTGGAATGATAAGGTAGTAACTGTTGTGTTTGTCAGTATACTAAAATCTTTGTACCTTTATTCCAGGCTGTGCCTTTGTCAAGTTCAGCTCTCATGCAGAAGCGCAGGCCGCCATTAACAACCTGCACGGGAGCCAGACTATGCCTGTAAGTACAACATCATTCTCTGGAGTAACATGGGCCAGAGGTGCTGTAATGGCCTAGTGCTTGGTCCAAACAAATTTAATTCATTGTTTCTCAAATTTTGAGGAAAAAAAACACACACACTTGAGAACTTGAAAAACCATTGGAAAAACAGTTAGTAGTTAGAATATTCTTCAATCAGTGACTGTTTTTAAATTGTCGACTGTACATCTTGAACACAAGAACACGAGACTAGGTCGAGACTTGTGTTGATCTTACTTGTGTTAATTTTACGTGACTGATGATCCTCTTCAACCATTGGAAAAACATAATGAAAGCCTGAGGTCCTGGTATCAGCAGGCTATATTATGCTGTGACTCATTCCATGCAGTAGTGTGCATATTGAGCCAGGATTCAAACTACCAACCTCTTTGTCTAGAGGCAGGGTTGCTAACCACTAGACTTTGCATGCTACTAGGGATAAACAGGTTGCTTCCTCCATGCAAAACTAACTGGCTTTTCTCTGTTGCCCCCCCCACCCCCCAGGGAGCATCTTCTAGCATTGTAGTGAAGTTTGCAGACACTGACAAGGAGCGCCAACTGCGAAAGATGCAGCAAATGGGCCTGAACCCCATGGCCATGTTCAACCCCATGGCACTATCACAGTTTGGAGCCTACGGTGCATATGCACAGGTATGTTTGTTTGTTTGTTTGTTTGTTTGTGTTTCACCTGGGAAAACATTTTGATATACCCTGGTGGAGAAAATCACTGATATATGTTAGCAACATCAAATGAAATCATAAATACAAGAATTAACAAAAATACTTCCAACTAAATATAACATAAAGCCATGTTAGTAATCCAATGGTATAACATTATACAATATAGTATGACAGTCAACGGGATGTAATGTACTTTATGTATTTTTGTCCAAGTCCAATGTATTTCATTTTATGGCTGCAACAATCCATGTGGTTAGATATTGGGATTCTTTATGTTTATAGGTTTTTACTCCAAATTCTATGAAACATAGTGGGCAGTGAAATTTGTGGTAGTATCAAATTCATGAATTATGCATTGTACATTAATTGATCTCTACCAAAACAAAATGGAACACTTCTGATTTTTTAAGATGACTATAAGAAATGTAGAAGCAAGTGGTAAAAAAAATTCTATCCGCAGACTTACAAGACAGTAGGAGGAAGAAGGGACAATAGTTCATTGCTGTGCCGTTCATGGTTGTTGCGATAGCACCGCTGTCCCTGGTGCTGAATCCACAGCAGTTGTTAAGTCCTTATCTGCTTCTCGCTTCAGTAACGCCTGGAAAGAAGGATTACTCTTGTCAAGGGAAACCTGTAGTGCATATGCAAACTGCGGAGATAAGGTTTCAACATACGGCAAACACTGTGGGGTAACCAAGCTCCAATCAACAGACACGCTGCTCTTACACTTGTGACAAGATCCTATCGCGGCGGTAAATTATTCCGGCATGTATTTCTGCATAATAGTTCTGGTTGTATCGGACGGAATATCAAGTTGTTCAATTGAGTTTTGGACGTCGGAATTACTCGTCAGTTTTCTTGGGGACCCGTTATCTCGCGGAAAACAGGCGAAGGAACGGAATGCGGGAAATACATGGCCCTGGGGTAGAGTTAACTTTCAAGGTTTAATCAGAAATAATGGCTAACCTTTTCAAAATGAGTCACGGGGAATTGGTCTTGACAGCGGAACTCAATTTACACCATTTTCTTATTAGGACGTGAAGTTGCTTGTGACATGTTGAATGTAATATAGCAACTGGTTGTGTGCGATACACGCAGTTTTTGGTGATCATTTCTATATACAGCCCCAAAATATTGCTGGTTTTAATTATGGTTTAATGGGATAAACCATAGTGTAATCTTTCTTTTGCCTTTTCAAGATACAAAAACTTCTGATTTAGACCTCGAAATGTTTGCAGTGGTCTCTCTGCCCCAAATCATGACCAAATATCTGTTTTTATTATTATTAATAATGATAATTGTACTACTGTACTACTGTAGCAGTATTTTTAACAGAACACTTGAAAATTTCCATTTCACCTCTACTACAAAACCAACTACCCATAAAAATCTACAGTATTAGCATTTAAAGAAAAATCCCAAAATCTGAGAATAATAGAAAAATCACAGAGACCCAAAATATCTATGTTTTGTTGAAATATCACATGATAAGATGCTGACTCGCTGCCTCTCTTACTCTCTCCTGGAGTTTTCGAAAATAAATGACTTGGGGGACCACGCCGTCTCAGTGAACTTGTTTTGTCGGAGGGATTCATTTGTTAAGACAGGATACCATCTGGTGGCGCTGCCCGCAACGTTGTTCCGACTTTAATGACTGGGCAATCCACACGTGCGATGTAACTAAAACCCATCTGCCCAACGCGTGGGTGCAATTACACCTGATTCTCCCCTCCTTCCTAATAAGTCTCGTGCGTGGCCTGATAATCAATCTTCCGCCTTCATTAGGCAATACGCCGGGAGTTCTTGGTTTGATCTTCTTTTGCTCGTCTTAGGTTCTTGCTCGAGCCACACCAATATAATCTGCTGTTTCTCAAGTTAGGTCATTGCACCAATTTAATTTGTTGTTTGTCGGATTTTTTGTGGGAAAAAATATGAAGAGACTTTGAAAAAAATAGGCATAGGCAATTATTAAATTGGTGGGGCTTTCACTGGACATGATGAGAATGAAGCTTAAGGACCAGGTTTTGGCCTTAGTGCACCCAGTTTTATGGAGTGAATACAGTTTTCCTCTCTGCATGCCCTCTGCTTGTGATATGTTCACCTTGAAATACTATGCTTAAAAACTCAAAGAACCCAATTTTTGTTTGAAGAAATCTTGTCATAGATATTTACAGTGAAAATGCATGTTATTTTATAACTTGTAAACAATCTGAATTTATTCATAGAATGATATAGTTTTGCAATGTTCATAAAATGTCAGAATGAAGTGTATGAGAATATCCATACATTGTGAAAATGCTGCCTCCAAACCTGTGAAGATTCAGTCAAAATTCCCTCCCTCAGCAGCCATACAGACTAGCAGAGAGGAAAGAGTCGCCTTCCCCTGCCATATGTTTCCTCTCCTTCCCTCGCAAGAAGCTATCGCAGTGACCACCATGAATCAACTTGAGTCTGCCTGGGGTTCATTACAAGTCTTCCCATTAACATTCACTGATGTGTGGTGATGTATACATCCTGACTTGTCCAGCCATGTTTTAATTGAGATGGGGGAACAAACCATAATCCGCATGGGACAGCGGTATTAAGTCACCCAGACTGAGGGATGGGGTATTCCGCCCAAGGATTGCAGCCAAAGCCTCTTAATTTGTAACAAAGTGTAAAGAAGAATCTATCAGGTGCTGTTGGAGATTTATAAGGGTCATCCCGGCTTATTTCTACAGTCTGAAGTGGACAGGGACAAATGTTTGCGTGAAAAACACTGTCCTTGTTTAGATTCTATCACCGTTTGTTACGCTGGCTTCAAAAGTAACAAGCCACGCGGCAATCTGTCTTCTGTCCGAGGGATTTCTCACGCGTCGTCTGCGTACCAGGATGTAATTAGAACCAAATCATACGTCCGTGCTCGTTAAAAAGTTTTGTACTTTGAGGAGAGGATATGTACAGGAAATGTGTACTAGGTTTTATAAAAAAGAAAATAAATTTTGCATTGCCATGGCTGTGCCTTGCCCTGCACACTCTGATAAAACTAATCTTTTGTTAAAACTGACAAGAGTTTGATAATCTTTGAATCAATGAGAAAATTCAAGTTCTCAGTTCTCATGTAGATTGAACACATTTCCACTTTTCAGTTATAACTCAAACTGCATATGAATCATCAGCAAATGTTTTACCAAAAATTGTGAAATTCTGTTACTTCTAGAATATGAAGAGAAACAATCTGTACATCCTGTACAGTTACATTGTAGTGAAACTTTTCCGAAACATCTCTTTTGATTTATTGAATTGCAGTAGTCAAAATGTCAGCACTGATACATTCTCACACGTCTTTTTTCCTTGTGTTATGAATGGCTGCAGCCCCTGAATCTGTCCCAGTTGCCATTACCAGTGGAAGGTTGCCATAAAAGGCAGTTGGAAGCTCGTCCCATCATTGAGTAAATGAGCTAATGCATCAAGCGTTGTTAATAGTAGTTCCAGTAGTTTTACCAATTACTGTCACAATGCTGGGCCATAATCCCCCGGCCACAGAACTGGTGTGAGCTCTTCTTTGACCTCTAGCCCAAACGACCTCTATCTAACCAGCAAGTATAGCGTGACTATTGTCAGAGGATGCTCGGATTTCTTGAAGTTTTGCCAGATTTTCGAAAATTGGACAGTGCCAAACATGGACAGGGAATCAAACCAATACTTACACATAAAAAATTATTGGATATCATGCCCAAAAAGGAGAGTGAAAAAAAAGAAATATGACATTATGAAAATTGTAAACCGTTGTTTGCCATTTGGTTACCAATTTGTTACAGTGTTAGGTAGCACAAAGAAGGTTAAACGTATTAAAATTTTTCATTAAACCTGTCTATGGTCCTTTCACATATTAGTTGTACTGGTATGTCTGTACAAAATGTGATGCCAGAAAAAATGCTATGACATGTAGAATTATTGTGACTATTGTTATGACAAAAAACTGTCATATCTTTCTCAATAATATGTCTTTTGTCACCATCAGTATCACTGCTACCAACAGAATGTTGAAGACCAAGACATTTTCTAGTCTGTAGGGTAGTCTTCAGTGAATGAGGTTGAAGATGAAGCCAGGATTATCTTGTGTGGTCTTGGCAGCTATTGTGTACCAGCAAACAAATGGGTCCTTTCTGTACTTCTACGTCCTCAACAGCATCTCTCATCAGCATTATCTCTTTGGAACAATTGCTTGATAAATCGGCGCCACTGCCGAGACCTCACCGCAACTGTTTGTTCAAAATCCTTCCTACATCTGCGTCTGAGACCACCGCTGCTTTATCGACCCTGAAAGAAATTGTCTTGTCCTACTTCCGCGGCGTGCCCGCAGAAAGTGAGCAACCGTCACCCTATCAGCACGGCTTTGTACGCCTTCTCTTACTTTTTATCCCGCTTCCATTTAGAAAGGTCGGACAGAAGAGATATCGACCCCAGGACAAATATATTTACTTCTCGGCACCTCCTTTGAAAATGATACCATCCCAATGATGGATAACATACTGAAATGATAAGGTGCAGCATTGTCACTTAATGCAATATACTCTGCCTACCACCCAAAGATAGCCTTTCCCTTTGCAAAGACGAGCAAAAGAAACTCTCTCAGTCGACTTTACCGGGGCATAAAATTCTTTCAGATGCTCGGGATAATTTACTACGCCATTGAAATAGCGGCCTTGGGCTTTTGTATGGTTTTATGTGAAAACAGGTAAACCTATAGGTGATTAAACTTAAGCATGCTTCTTAAAGTTTGCATATTTTTGTCATGTATATAGAGCTAGAGGATTATCCTTGTCAGATCTGTATCTTCTTGACAAGGTTAGTGACCTTCTAAAGGATGTTTAGACCTTTGAGTAATGGTTCGACATGTTTTAGCTGACAAGTTCATTGTCGACGTATCCTCCTTCCTTTCTGATCACATATTTATACCCAGTGTCGACACAAAACTCAATAAGCCCAAATCTCCCCCGTTAGGCCTCACATTTGTCAACATCACAGTATCATAGACCAGCTCGGAGCTGGGAGCGGTTAAGTCCATATTCCTCCCCGTAATGGCTGAGGCTGTTTGAAGTCGGCCTAGGGGATCTGCGTATGCATGAACATTTGCGAGATATTGCACAATAAAACTTCAACTTCTGTCCAGCTCCTTGAAAGATACAGTAAAGGAAGGTATCGATCGGCCAAATCAGTACAATGGCTGGTCCGAGAACGTCTGACAACTGCCGATGCGCCTTTATCTGAGAGTGCCGTGGAAGAAGGATGGGAGAGGGGGGATGGCTTAGATGTATGGTGCAATAAAAACATTAATCATTGGGACCATCGGCTGTAAAAGTTGGGAATGGACAGCAGTCTTCCTTTGGAATGGCTGCGGGGGAAGGACGGTCCATTTATCACCTTGTCAGGAAGGCAGGACGAAATCTGAGGGGTCTTTGTACAGGTCAAATTAGGTCGAGATGTTAGGGAAAGTGCTGGGGGCTTACTTTACTTAAGCGGTGGTTTGCCGGGAAGTTTTATGGTGTCCATAGACCCAGAGGCGGACTTAGTTCTTTGCATACATATGTTGTAGATTAGACAATGAATGACCATGTAAAGCTTGCTTAGCTATTTTGCCAGGCCTTGTCAATAGTGTTGGAACAGAAATATGTTTTAAAGTATGGAGATCACAAAACTTTCTGGGAGTATAGTTATAGATTTTACCCATACATGTACATTATGACTACATTTTTGTAAATGTTTGAGTGAATGTACACGTAGTATTCTTTAGAGTTAATTGCTGTTAAAATGGGAAATTCAAAGTTGCGTACATTTTGCTTTCACACATTTATTTGCTGACATAAAATGTGTCATTTATTTGTTGACACGAAATGTGTTGTTTGATGCTGTTAACATGTAAACTGACATGTCCACTTGTTGGCTCTTCCAGCAGCCGTCGTCCCTCCCCACACAGCTGATGCAGCAGCAGGCAGCCCTGATGGCAGCTGCTGCAGCCCAGGGGGGGTACATGAACCCGATGGCAGCGATCACTGCAGCTCACATGCACCAGATGTCTGCCATGGCTAATATGAACGGCATCACCAATGGAGTCACACCTCCGGCCGGTAGGGAACTCTTCTACCAGTAATAGTCATAAATTTGCCACAGAAATATTTGGGTGACCCATGCTTTGTAGACATCAACTACTGGTAGGCATATGCAAATTACTGGTATGCACATGCAAATTATTTGTAGGCAAATCACCCAACTACCACCTGATACCAGTTGATGACACCTGATGTTTTAACCACACCTCCTCCCCCCCTCTAGGTAACCCTGCCACCATGAACGGAGTGGTGCCCAATGGAATGCCTTCTCCTGTTGGAGTCAGCAGTTTCAACATGGCGCAGGCCAATGGCCAGGCTGCAGACCCCTCCACCTACACCAATGGCATGCCTCCTTATCCAGGTATGTCCCAATGTAGTGGTCCTCTCATTGTTCTCTAAACCATTATTTCTGCATTCAACTGAATAACTGGTGACTATGTAATGTGTCATAAATATACAGATTTATCCCCCAAAGAGCAAGTATCAGCCCTTGTAAAGTATTATGGATATGCAAATTAGATCATGAACATGCAAATATGGCACATCAGCAGGTTGACTACCTCTTCCAGCAGTTTCTCATCCTGTCTTCCTTTCGGCCCCAGAGAAACATCTTGTTTTGCAGACTTGGCTGTAACATTTTAGTCATCTCTAAAACCTGTGAAGTATCACATGTATGCAAATAGAATCACTGATATGCAAATAAGGTAGCACACCTCTTCCAGCAGTCTCTCATCGTACCTAGTGCTTTGCTTGCTTTCAGCCCCTGGGACCCCCACGGGTGACCCAGCTCACCAGTACCCCGGCATACAGCAGTACCCAGGTACAGAAGAGGAAAGTTTTCAGTGGCACAGTCTGGGTGTGTGGTCTTGTGTTCTTGTCCTCTCTTTGTAAACTGCTACCTCTGTAAAAGGAAAACATCTCAATCCTCAGTAACATTCCCCTATGGTACAGCATTGTACAGATTGGTTTGTTTGAGCCTTTATTTATCAGGAAATAACTCTTTTCATTGCTGGCTGCCTTTCATTGAGGTCCTGAGAGAAGAGGCCAGTGTCAGACTGAGACTAGTGTAACAAGAAGCAGGCTACAGGATTGTAGTCCTAACCAATATCTTGAAAGAGTCCTTGTAACTTTGAAGAGCAAAAATGCTGTACAATGAATTCATCGTTCAGGTTACTGAGGAGAGATGTACCTTTTACAGGGATTTTCTTGATTTTATTTTTGGCAACGTCACTCTAGATGTGGTGTTAAGTATTATATGATATGAACTTTTTAGACATTGGTGATGATTATTATCAGTGGTGCAAACAAACAATATCTTCCTCACATTAAATTCATAATTATACAAAACAGATGCTAGCTTACAAGCCTCTATAAAACACCAATCTTTCAATTTTACGTTGTTTTAATGCTTTGGTGGTTAGTAACATTGCCATAAAATTTACTGACTTTGTTGCGGAATGTGTTGCTATCCCAGCATACCCCTGGACCAATGGGCAACTCTCCCAGGCCTTCGCACAGCATCCTCCCATCATGCCTCAGCAGCAGAAGGAAGGTGAGGCATATCCCATGATCCTTCATGATGGTCACTCAACTCCAACTGGTAAATAGTCCATAATACTCTTCCACCAAATGGATCAAAAGAAAATGGATGAGTCCAAAGGGTACATCATAAATGTTGTAAATGTTTGTTCAATGTTTATTCTACTCAATTGTAAGAGTTTCAAGGTTTCAACTTTTTCCCTTTGATCCATTTGGTGACACTATCCATACAGCAGCAGTGTATTATAATATATACACTCTGCTGCCATTTCTTTCTATGATAATGTATTCATGTATACCCAAGATGTACAATGTACAATATATAGAAGTTAGCACTAACACTACCTAACGCTATCCATTGAAGCATATATTATATAATGTACATGTTAGGCATATTGTTGTAATTCTTTTGAAAATAAGTCAGTGTCTGTGAAAACCCCACTTTTAAGTTTTCTGTGCTACCAAACCTACAAACAGAACCATAGTAGCTTTCAGTACCATAGACAGACACTGGTCTAATGATTTTATCTCTGTTGGTAGAAATCATTAAGAACAAAGTTTAAACTGTGCTTGCCAAGTTGCCAACACACCACATGTATGATCCACTGCTCACTGAGTCACGTGTGTCATCTACATAACATGATGTCACAGAAGCAGTGGATCGCTTATTCCTTGACAAATACTGGAGTTGTACAGTCAAAGGGTCCAATAACTTGTGTTGGAAATTACAGTTTTAATTTGCTTCTCAAAGGTTGTCAAGTTTGAAGTTTTCTGTTGTACCTAAAACACGACAATAACTTTCAGCACCATGGACAGCCACTATCTGTCTGCATAACCAACAACAGGTCCAGAAGCTTTTGTTTCATGTAACTCTAGGCATCAAATTGCAACAAGAACACTGCTGAGGTCCCATTGGTAGTTCTGGGAATGAGCTCTTGAGCTAGAGGTGTATGGCACAAGCTAGAGGAGGTCCAAAATCAAGCTGAAACCCTTGTGTAATTTCTCACTAAAAGAGATGTCATTGCATTTCATCTACATTTGTACCAACAGAATTTGCCCCTCAAAATAGAGGAAATAGTATTTTAGAGGGTCGAGATTTGACATCATCCTGGGAGCATCCCACTACGATTGTCAGTCTTCTGGGCCTCCAGCGTTTGACATGATGTTATTTCAAACAGAAAGAAACTCCTGGCTGGCTAAGATACTGCCCAGAAAGTCTACCTTCATTGATGAACTGAGAACAGTTGATTGTCTCAGTTACCATGAGCTCTAAACCTCTGGTTGTTCCAGGTCCTGAGGGATGCAACCTCTTCATCTACCACCTGCCTCAGGAGTTCGGCGATGCTGAGCTCATGCAGATGTTCATGCCTTTCGGCAACGTCATCAGCGCAAAGGTGTTCGTGGACCGTGCCACCAACCAGAGTAAATGCTTTGGTAATTAAACAGTGATGTTGTTTCATATTGCCCATGCATGGGTGTTCTGTATTGTCACCACACACACGTGTCATTCCATGATCTATATATACAGTCAAGCCTGTACATACAAGTGACTATCTCTAATGTGGCAACTTCTTGGTGGTCTGTAGGATACATAATTTCCCATTGACACAAATATTTAGAATCTTGTTATTAGTAACTTCCTGCACACACAGACCAGATTTTTGCACATGTGGCCTTTTATAATACATAACACATAATACACATTTACACAAAAATATACAATCTTTTGTAGAAGAAATAAATGCAATTTAATTGAGAAATGAACACCTTTTAATGAAATTGTGCACAACTTTTTTCGCGATCTTCACACTAGCAGATTGAATGTTATTGGTGATGTGTGATGTACATTGAGTGCCATGAACTGATGTCCATTTTGCCTCCTGCTGCAGGGTTTGTGAGTTTTGACAATCCTGCGTCCGCCCAGGCTGCCATCCAGGCCATGAACGGGTTCCAGATCGGGATGAAGCGCCTCAAGGTTCAACTGAAGCGACCAAAGGATGCCAATCGTCCATATTGACCTCCTAACTTGTGCTAAACTACTGAAATCAGGTAAAGACCTAATCTTTTTACAGGTTTCTCCCGTAAATTTACATTATGAATTGTACAAACATATCTATGAGAAATGTGGAACAGCTGAAACTCAGTGTAATATTGGAAACTTAGTTGTTGAAAATTTAAAATCATCATTATCAAGCAAAAGAGTTTCTGTTTTGCTGCTTACATTTACTTCTTACAATTTTTAAAATTGAAAATTGTCCAGGGATTGTTTTCAAGAAATCAAAAACCTTTGTTCTGTCGTATTTGTTGCTCTCTGCCCAAAATTGTATTTTGACAGATGTTCTCTTTTAAAATCTCATTATACAATGATGTACTATGTATGACATATTGTATATTAATAAGCAAAACGCATATCAATTCTCTACTCAAGAAATATTATAATGGGTCTCAGCTGTTTCTGTGTGATGTAATGTCCTACAAACTGAAGTGTACTATACAAGTCATGTATATGGCAACTTACATGTACACAATTATTCTATTATGGTATTATGAAAGGACCTGCTAACATTTCAACTACTGATTGGGATGAAATTCAACTTTGACATACTAATATTTTGTGTTATAAAAAGAAAGTATAATGTCAGCTGGTCCTTGATACAAAAATATGTTTAAAATTCCTGTTTCAGATTATTTGTTTCATTTTGATACTTTCATTCCTTTACATTTGAAGCAATCTTTTTTTCAGGAATGGTGTGGCAATGTTAAAAGCCATTATAGAAACCTGATACATTCCACTTTTGTACTATGAAATGCCAAATTGTGTACCTGATACCTTTCTTTCTTTCTTTTGAATAATCTAAGGGCTAATATCTGGGAGGATATAGTAATGCACAGTTTTAGCAGCACTACTTAGTAACACATTACAAGGACCTCCTAAATTTCTATGTGCCACAATTAAGGAAAATCATCCTTACTTCTCCTGATCTTTCTATTCTTTACTGGTAGTGTCAGAGTCATATCTCTTCCACTTCTTAAGAATCTGTGTGGTCTTTCTTCACCATCCCCATTGCTTGAGAAAGTCTGTTATTCTTTAAGAATCTGAGTTCAATGTCTCATTTTTACCTGTGATCTGCTTTAACCTTTGCACTCTGAACTCTGAACTGATCCTGCACCCTTCCCATGGTTCTCTCCTGCATACCCCGTCCGTCATCATATTTCCATGGCAACTAAAGCAAGCGGGGCAATCAAAACCCGCGCAGAGTCCAGTCTGGCTCCGCCCCTAAGACCTAAGACTGGCAGATACCCAGCAGTAAGTGACAAATTCATGGCGGTGTTGTCGGAAATTCGGTGGCGTATTTGCCGTGGTGTGACTATATATGGGTAGCCAGTATGTGGCCTGTCTAGATATTGTGACCTATGCCCTGTGACCTTTTTGACCTGTGTTCTGGTGACCATCGCTGGGTGCTGTACTCACTATACCAACCAGTCAATTCCAAAAACAATTGCACCCCTCCAATCCTGACTCCAAACTGATCTGGGAGCGCAGTGTGACAACCATTCCAAAATAGATTCACTATAAATAAATGTTGTTTGTTTTAGCTGAGTCTATAGATTGTGTGCACATCACTTAGTGTCGAAAGTCTGTTTTGGGACTCAACTTTAAAGAAAGGAAATCTAATTTTGATGTTAACTCCCAATCCTTGACATGTTGTACATAGTTCTGTTGGAGTAAGTACTAGTATTCTGTACTAACGTCAGCTTGATATTGTGTTCAAGGCCTTCAATGTTGCCATTTTGTGTTTGACATGATTTTGAACCCTGTAGCACATATTGTCATATTGCTTTTTGCTTTCTGTCTATTATATTCATGTACTATTTTGTTAGATCAGGACATTCATTGTTGTGGCAGCTTTATAAATGATCTATTGCTTAGCTTTACATCCTCTCCATGTGGAAACAACTGAGTTGATATAAAGCTAAGCATGGCTGTAAAAACAGGCTATGAATAAAATGCTCAGGGCTCGAAATATATACATACCTACACTGGTGCAGGTAACATTGATAATTTCCCATACCAGAAAAAGTTAACCTGCATCACTCAGAATTTAGGAAGTATGGATCATACTAAAAACTATTCAGAAACCATCAGCCATCATTTCTTTTACACTTCATCTGAAATGTAGGTGGTACCAGTCAATCAAATATACCTACAATGTAGGTACATGTAGAAACATGGACTTGTGCAGGTCAGCTGTAGGTGCAGGTAGATATCAGAAATGCCTGCATAGCTCCAAGTTTACCTGCACTAACCTACTTATACCCAGTACATGGACCAGTGCAGGTTAGGTGCAGGTAGACATCAGAAATACCTGCACAGCTCCAATTTTACCTGCACTGACCAGTGCCTATGCAGGTTATATTTCCAGCCCTGTATATGTTTATACATGTAGTGAGTAAAAATATGCTGTCAGATGAGAAATCAGTGACACAAAAGCTTCTAACAATTGGTCTTCTTGTAACATTAATTTATCTGATTAGTAAGAAAAATTTCAAGAGGTCAACAAGGGGCTGGGAGAACAGGTTGCACAAGACTATATTGAACTCTTTGCAACAGTGTGTACTAAGGTACAGATTTCCCCCCTTAGAGCCACAGTGTTCATGTTTGGGGGGTTTAACTTATTTCATATGCTGAAATGTAGAACTGTGGAAGGTTTGAAAGAAGCTTTTGTGGCACACCAGCTTGTTGAATAGTTGCTACATGATCGAACCATTTTGCCTCTGAGATGAATTCATTGCTTTTTACAGGTAAAAAGTGCATATTATAAAACTTTGACTAACTCTCGATTGTTTTCTGTTTTCCCCCAGGTTCTCAATGAAGTGGCTTTGGTGCAATATTGAAAGCTGACTGATGAAAAGGAGGTGGTTTCCGATGGCAACCGTTGTCTAGGAGACCGAGATGCCAGACTATAGACTACAGTGCGACATGTATCTACAGCGATTGTTGCTAGGTCAACTATAGGTGAAATGTAAACAATTCTTACCCGTGTAGTGAGGGACCAATAATGTTCACTGAAGTAAACGAAAAAACAAAAAACAAATCGTCGGACGCAGATGCACAATTGGTGCATGGCCTGCTGGGAATATGACCTATGACCTTCTTGGAAAAAATGCAGAGGTTTGTGAATTCTGTCGCAGGATTCATAAAGCTACGGCAGGCTTTCTGGAATTTTGCGTCTGTACAGTTAACATGCCATGATTTTTAATTGTAGAATAATAATTACAACTTCGAGTTAGGGCAGTAGAGATATGACAATATAGGAACCTAGGTATAACCAAACTTAGAGGACAAAACGACTTGTAGAATTCTCAAAAGAATGTTTCTTATAGATTTCTCAGAACAAGAACCATTTTATAGCCTAGAATAGTGATGATTTCCAGAAATCAGGGAAATCGCGGTCACTTTGTAGGAATGGCAGTAGGACGTGTAGAAATGAGTAGGAATTCAAACAAGCCCCAAATTTTAGATGATAAAAATCATCTAAAAATGTAGAAGTAATGAAAGAAATGCATTTCATATTAATCTTACAGATATAGAGAGGGCAGCAACAGCTTGGGATGCGAATGCTTAAAAGCATAAACAAAAAAGCGCTTCATATGCTGAGAGTAAACATAAGGTAATTTGTAGAACAACAAAAAATGGAGTACCCCAGATATGTAGGAACATTCCAATGTAATATACCAACAGGGGTGCACCTGTCACTAAGACTGCATCTGGCTACTAGACCAAGTGCGACAGGTGTAAAAAAAAAAAGTGAAAAAAATTTTCTCGCTCGGGGCTCAGTGCACATATGTATGATATTTATCAAACAAGAGAAGGCTTCAGTTGTGCAATTTTTCACCATCCACAAAATCCAATCAACAAAGTAGTGTGTGACACTGTATACAACAGATTTGAAAACATTTCCATTTTAAAGTTTTATCTACGATCTATCACCATTTAAAAAAGCTTCTTTTAACTTAGCATATTTATCGTCAGTTGAATATGTATAATTTCTGAGAAGGTTTTAAGAAAGTTTTAGTGTTGTAGTGTTTAATGTAATTGCTAAGCAGTTTGACAAAAGAATAGGGATGCTCTGAGTAGAAGGATGATTGTAACTATTTGCATACAGTGCCACGCAGACTTGGGTACATATACTGTACCCAGAGGAAAAATTGTGTCAACTGTGGGGTTGTTTCTGGTGAAGTTTGGTTTAGATTATACTTGTCGTGTTGTCACAAATATTTTAAACAGGGTTGATTTTTCATTCTCTTATTTATTCTTGAGATTTCTTCTCCAATCGTGGACACCAAAATTACATATCAGAGGTGTAAGATTTATCGGAGGATAATGGAAATATTTATTTGACAATCTGAGACAATATTACTTCACTAAGTGATGTGAAAACTACAGTACCGATACCCCTTTTCCAGCCATGGTATGTTCCGTATCTGTGGCATTTTCAGTCTAAATGCATACAGTTTCAGACCATACCATGCAGTTTAAAGGGAGGTTCTGTATTATAACATGATAGAGACATTAAATAATGCTAAAGATGTAGATTTTGTGTTGTGCCAAACAGTGAATAGAGATGATTAATTCTATTTATTGTGTTTGATTTGTGACGTGATAATTTATTGATCAACGTCTATTTATTACTATTTATTGATGCCATTATTGTTGGCAATATATTGTTAAGGTAGGGATAATTAAGTTATTCATTAATTTATCTCCTAAGTTAATGAGAGATCACTTGCTGCCTTTTCTCTAGAATGCCTATACGGTAAAACACTTCTCAACATAAAATCATACCCACCAAAGCATGCATGGCTTGGCCTCTCATTAATTATGTTAATGAGAGTGTTTTTTTGGCGACGCCTAAGGGGTGGAGCCTGCTTTTTCCTGTTTTGATCACCCAACGCCCATGAGAAGTTATGGAACTGTCAAGAATTGTAAAGGAACATGCCATTAAAGTTAAAGGGGGTGGTTAATCTACCAAGAAGGGAACTAATATATCTAGTGAAGGTAGGAGAGTAATAAGGTTATAAAGGACAGTGTAGAATTTACCATGATTGCAATTGTAAACTTCGTGCTTAAGGAATGAATATTGGCAGGTATAATATTTAAGAAAAGGCCGGAATGTGGAACGAACGTGGCTGTGCAAATTGGTTGGTTTTGTACAAGTATGCTACAGCTATGTTCGTTGAGATTTTCTTCATCTAAGAATATACTTTTGAGTTCTGATGGTTTGGAAAGAGAGGATGCTTGCACAGCTAGCCAACTTGCACAGCTTACAATGAAGGGACAGTTGTATGATTGAAAGGCATTAACATGACATTGTGTACCTCATCTATAAGCACAGCAACTTCAGGTTTCTACCAACACTGCTACGATATATACTGAAACCCGCACCCCTTTGTGAACTTAGTACGGTCCAGTTTCCTCTGGGTGTCGTCAGATTTTGGACGGTACCATGTGTCATGCAGGGAGGATAGCAGGGGAAAAAGTTATGCTCTTGGAGCAGTACCCATTAAGCCTGTAATGTTATCTTATAAATGGCCTATAGGTTCCATATATTCATTAGGGTAACATGTACTTAAACAATGCTGGTGAAAGGACCTAGTCTAAAAAAATGCTTGAGAATTCACCTAAGGTACTGAAAAGGTGAGATGTATATAGTACAACGCACCGGCAGCCTTTTGCCTAGAATTTACTAAGATGTACAATGAAAAAAATCTTGACACTGAGGAGCAACCAAACTTACCGGGTCGCACGTTAGCGTTATACATTTTTATCTGGATGATTCTGGGTACCAGTGGACAAATTTTATCTCAGACTTCTTGTTGTAAGACCGAGATATGGTATCACTTTACATCACAGATTTCAAGCTATGCTGGTTTTTGGCAATGCCTCTGGGGCGGAGCCTTATGTATTCCTGTTGCATGAGAGAAATGTATAACCGAAAAAGTGACATGATTAGAGCTAAAACAGTAAGAAATAGACAACTGTACGAGCTGTGTGCCATTATACGAACCACAACTACATGTACGCGTACGATAGTCGAGAATTTGTACCATCTTTCTAGAGAAATGTGACCAACACTACAGCATAACAACCCATATGTTTTGTCAAGCAGCCAGGAGTATGATTATGTGTATGACCAGACATTGGAGAATTGTATGTCATTCATTCATTCACTCATATTCTGATGTTAACAAAGATCTCCAGGGCTAACTTCACTGATTCAGAATCTCATTGATTAACAACAAATCATCACCATCATCACATAGAAACCAGTAGAACGACAAATATCAATTGGACCAAAGTAATCCACGAATGTACAATTTCTTTTATCAATCCCTGACCAACATATATGTGAACTTGTTGCATCAAACTTTTGGGAAAGGATATTGTAAAAGATTTTGGGTATAACCGGAGAAAGGGTCACATGTTGTTGAGTGTTGGAGTGTATTCATGTCGTGGCTTACTGCAAGTGTTCCCAGACATGTGGTTTTTGTTTGGAGTGCGGTTTCCTGGTAATTTTGGTGTGCTCCCAGTCCTGCCTGTACAGATGATATATCTACCATAGGGAGATAATAAAACAACGAATATTTACTATGAGTGTGTGTTTGTCATCTTTGCTGTTGCCTCACCTTAGTTAATATTTCATCACAATGAATTAAGTATTCTTTATTGCATGTTCTTGCCCACATGGGCGAAGGCAGTAGTTATATAGGGCGTCTAAAGGTGGTGTTATAAGACCACACCAATTTAATTTGTTGGTTCTCAGATTTTTTCATAAAAATATGAAGCAACAGGGCAAAAAAATAATAACAGGTCTAGGCATCCTATTATATATTGCCCCAACTGCTACGACAGGAGCCATGAAGTCAACACAAAAGGCTGGGTTGATATTTAAACAATCAATTTTGAACTTTTAATCAAACCACTGCATTGATATATGCAAAAAAAACTAGGAAGAAAAAGACTTTTTTTCAAATTTGGAGGGCAAAATAAGAGCATATTTAATTGATTCAGAACCAGAATCTTTTTTTTTTTTGTGCAAATCAGAAAAAAATGAAGAGGTGAATCCGAGAACCAACAAATTAAATTGGTGTGGCCTTAATGTAGTGTGACAGTGTAAGGATGACCACTTATGATGCACTCCTGACGTCATCACGCTTCTGACTTCCGGTGCATCACACATATGACGAGGGTTGACGAGATCGACCAAAAATTTATGGTGAGTTCCTTTCTTACATGCTGGATCAAAGCTTGGACTCTATAACTATGTGTTCTACCAACACAGATGAGCTTTCAGTCGAATATTAGATAGACGACATTTTGGAAGGCATTTTGAGAAGACAAGCCATAAGGTTGCATTGTAAGCATCATAACATCAGGCCGGTCAGCCGCCGATTATTTGAGCTGTGTGGCTAAGCGATCTCGATCCTCCGAAGTACAGAAAAACAACTATTGAATACTAGAATTGGGCAAACGGCCCAAAAACTTGATTACCTGAACAATCAGAAGGAACGATTGGAATCCACGCTAGCCAACAAACTTCCGGTGGAAATTTCCACAGAGTTGAAAGGTCATCCTAAGGGAACATCTTCTAAATGAAACACGTCAACAAAGCAGTTTTCTCGCTTACTACAGAACCAAACGACGGGAATAACACTTCTCTAGCTGCCGATTGCATTAGTAAATGGGTAAAGAATTGTTCAGACAGAAGTCTTAGGGATCCGGAACTCGCAGTTCTTGCCAAGGGTTTAGACTACCTAATTTTTTCAGCACCAAGGACGAACCCACACCGTACTAATGTCGCCAAGCTTGTTACCCTATCGGAAAAGCGTTGCCCAAAATACGCATGGACAGGGTGTCCCAACAAGAAAAATCCATGCCTTCAAGCACCAGAGTTATCAACCAAGGATCGAGGTGTTCAAGAATTCATTCTTTCCTAGAACTATCGCGGAGTGGAACTCGCTGTCACCAAGTACAGTAGGGGCATTGTCATTAGATAGCTTTAAACAATGTCTAGAGTTAGATGTTCAAGGGTTAGGTGTAACAAGTCGATCGGTGTAATGTAGCTAGCTGCCGCCGCGCCGCGTGCCTACGAAACTGGTGTGTTACGCCGAAGGGCGGTTATACCGGCTATACAGATACAGATACAGGACTTAGCCTCTAACAGTCTTCTTGAAGCGGTCGAAAAGAGTAGGAATCGACGGCCAGATACTAGTAGACAGATGATATGGCAGGGGAGTTGGTCCGCTCTGAGAGAACAGTTTGCCGCTCCTGAAATGTTCTCTGTGCGCGGACCGACTCCCCCACATGAATATAGTGTCATCACAGGGAAATATCAACAGCTATAATATCTCTCCTGAGGACAAGCTTAAAAACTTCCGAATTACTCATTACATTAGCGGAAAGTCTGGTCTAGGAATATAAAAAGAGGCAATTTTTCATCCTGCAATGGTTTTTCTTGCCTGCAGGGCGAGATTAAAGCTTCCCTCCTTTGTGTCTTTTCTACCTACACTATTAATCATTCAGATACCTCTGTGGCAACGGACGGTTTCAGAAAAGTATTCTGACACTACTACAAGTCATTTACCTCTGGAAGAGAGATTTTCCCGTTATAGGTTATTTGGCGTGCTATATATCTTTAAAATAACAAGTAGCGCCCCCAAAGAAAGTAGCCATGAATTATAAAGAATGGTTACAACAGCCATTAGTACAAATACTTCTACCACATGTATACGGCTCACGGTTTGACTTCGGGCAACTTTTTTTTCATACAACTTTCTTATGAAAATTAAAAAAATCCTAGAGGCAATTTTCATAGTGCGGCTTTAATGATATAAATCAACTGAAAGTGTAAAACGACATTTAAACGTAAGCATCCAAACTACTCATGACTTTAATATCTTGTCCATTCCCGAATTAATGAATTGACGTAATTTGAAAGCATTTTTATCTACCCAGAATGTCTGCTTGCATTTTTATTAAAACAGAAATAAAAGTTGGTCCAAGTAACACCTCCCTCAGACAAATTAATTAAATAGATATAATAATACATGAACAATAAACATGGGGTTTAATTATAAACTTAATGTACAGGTTCTAACATTCCCTTTCTTGGTGTTACTGATAGGACACAAGAAAGTAATACATGTATGAATATTTTTAATTAATTAAGAGCGAGATATTTACGTATCATAATGAAATCCTGAGTTAGATTCATAATTTGCATTTTTTTAAAGAATGGTACAGCTTCCAACAAAGCATCGTGAACAAAATCTAATCATTTCTAGGTCTCATAAAGACCTACCCACCTACCAAGTTTCATTCCAATCCATCCACTGCTTCTCGAGTTATCTTGCTAAACCACACACAAACAAACACACCCACACACACACAGACAAACGCAACTGAAAACATAACCTTCTTGGCGAAGGTAACAAGAAAGCATCATGATCATGAGGAAGAAAACATCGTAAGAAAAGTACGTGAATTTCGGTGGTTATTACTGGGTTCGTTTTGTTCCCCGCCGGCGGTTGTCTGACTTCAAAAGACCGCGTTATCCCGATATATTGTGTCTCGGCGAAAGACCGGCGTCCGCCCGCGTGCCTCTGGCCATGGAAACAGATGGCATCGCTCTTATTGTGAACATTACACATATCATGTCTACGCCTGGCAGCGAGAAGTATGGAGGGTGTCATTGGTCCAAACATTGCAAGGCCAGGGATGAAGAGTAATTATGGATATGGTTACTCCAGGCGCATTCCGAATGACAGTACTAGCCATTACATCTCTGCAATTCAAGGCTAAAATAACGTTTCATTAGAGACACACCATGAGTTCCTCGACTAGAATTCACGATTTTGTGTACTTTATGGTCTTAAATCTAAGTAAAAGCGTGCTCTATGTGAAGTTGTGTTATTTGTTGCAAAGTTCAAGGAAAATTGATAAGCATCAGTTAGCAAAAAAGCGACTAAAAGGGAAATAAGTAGATTTTAATAACAATTTTGTGTACTTCATGGTGTTTAAGAAAGTTAATAATACGTATTGTATGTGAAATATTACTTTGAAGAAGCAAGGGGTTGTTTGGAAGGTGTAAGCTGGCACGTAAAATCACGTAAATGGTCTCTTAAAGTTTCACGCATTTTATTTCTAATACACAGTTTATAACCCTTATTACTTTCTATGTGGCTTGAAGATGTCTGTTGCAGCAGATGTTATGTGGGTATAACAGATTTTATTACATTTTTATGGCCCTATGCTGTGTTAAAATATGCGGTCTGTGTGGTATTTAGGCTATCACATGATGATAAGTACCTTTGAAATAGTTTTCTACCGCAAGCAGATGTACTTTTAACCATTACTCTGATGCCATTAATCAGAACTGTAAAACGATGTCTTTGGGCGAACCTATATACAAGAACTGCACCCAAAATCATTACCTTTTATGAATCGTCACGCTGGATATGTTAGTGTCCTGCGGGGAGGTATACATCACACACAGAACGGTGTGGCTAGGTAAGAATGACAGATGCACAGGTTTTGTAAACCCGTAACTTCCCTGGATAAGGAATTTTTGCCTCAGTTCAGTGACTCTGGCAGAACAAGCCGAGGCTTGGAAGATTAGAGAGTAAAGCCCGTGTGACGTATAGCCGAATATGGTCTCACGAACACGACCGAACTTCCTCAACCATGCATGGTTAGGAGTATAGGTCGGGAGTAAGGTCGGCTGTGGTTGTCTGGTGTTCGGACAGGGCGGCTACTGTTCGTAGTCCGAATGTTTCAAAATGTTAAAAACATTCGGGTGCTGACGGAGAAAGGTTCAGCCGTGAAATTTGGTTCAAATCTAACTCAAATTCGATTTTCATCGAAAGGTAGGCGTGGCCTAAATCTGACCAAATTATATTGCTTAGTTTTGTTTGAATGAACTAACCTCGGTTTTGTAACTATGAGAATTTCACTGTCTTTAAGAAAATCCAGCGCATAACGTTAGATATTCCCAGTCAACATGTCGTTATTTTCCTGCCGATTTACGTGGCATCTTCTACGTCATACGTCGCCATAGCAACGTTCTATTAACGCACAACAACAGGGGGTATCGTAAACTAGCTTTAATTTGGAAAACCTGTTTTTATACGCTTTGAGCGCTCGCGGTAAAGTCAGCATGATTACAACTAGATATTTGATAATACCAGCCTGCACATGGGCTCATTCCCGCTCATTTTTCAAGCAAAGTTAAACCCTAGTCACACATTCAGAAAGCTTCCCAAGACAACCAATCAAGGTTGGCTGAAGTTCGGGAGTAGTCATGACGAAAGTGAGCATTTTTGTAGCGAAGATGCGGCATTTTTTCCTTTCTCTTTCCGTCTTGTTGTCTCCCAAAATCAGTCCCTGTTTGTATTTGTGTTGTCTCTTGGTAACAAAACTTACGGCAAGAAATATTCTCCGGAATAGCGACTCATATCTGCATTGGATTCCCTTTACAGCCAAGTAAGATTTTCCCCTGTCTTTTTTATGTATTGAGCAGCTAGGATTGAATCCCACCTTTGCGAACACACGTGTACGAAATCTATATTTGAAGGAGACGGCTTGAGGATCTAGCGGCGCCAGTGACGCTTAGCTACCGCCTGTGTATGATAACGGTTACCGCAACAAACAGTGATAGCTTAGCATATAGAATCGGCAATGTTATGTACGTTTTAGTCACATAAAGTCACTGTACTGCAATACAAAAAGGTTCCGTCAGAGGGCGATCTTACTCCATTGATTACTCATGTTTGCCATTGTCCCCTGTATGTTGCTGATGATACGAGTAGTACGCCTCGGACGAAACCTTTGTTTAAACTTTCCTTACAGCGACAGTTGTAGATGACAGTGCCATCAGTACTAGTGTGGAAGGTAAATGAAAGCACGCGCCTTTTTTCCAGGGGATACTAGAATCAGACACGTCTCTCTACACGTTTAAATAATTGGTTTAGCGACCGAAAACAGCAAAATCCCTGACAACAGCACGGATCCAGATATCAAAATAGATTAATTCTACTGGCGATGTGTCGTTGCCATGGCAACTAAATACGTCTGTGCAGACGTATTTTTGACGAATGACGTGAATTCGCTGTAATGGATTTACCAATTATTTGGCTATTAAGATGCCATGTGGGCAATATTGGAAGCCAGGAAACAGATATGTGGTGAAATCATTTGACTCCCAACGTTAATGAAAGTCGGTTTGCAGCAACAGTGTCCAGTCCCCATCTTAGCTTGTGATTTTATTCAAAAGAAAAAAACAATTGTTTCCCCTTTGTAAAAATGTAAAATCAAGCTTAAACTTGTGAAGAGTGTAAAGTTTATACCCTAAGGTATATTGCCTTTGTGTTTATAAAAACCTTTAAAGGAAAGGTAGCCTAGTTTAGGTATTGGATTAACAATTCATTGCCTAGAATTGGTGGATTGTTATTCCACTGTGTTTAGGGAGGGGTATTGGAAGGTGGGGCCTATCATTCTTTTTCCATTACCCCCCCTCCCCCCACCACCACCTCCAAAGTCATATACCCATTTTACACCTGGGTGAAGTTTGGGAAGCCGTGCAAAGTGCCTTAAGGACACAATGTATAGTAGGAATGCCAGGAATCGAACCCATGATCACTTGATCTCATGTCCGCTAAGGCAACCGCTCGGCTATTATATTCGACTCCAGTATGGTGTATAAGCTTTGCCATTAAAGAACATATTTCTTTGTATTCCTCCTGGGTCTATCTAGACACCAGGCAGTGTAGAATCTGAAAGCAGATATTGTGAGCTCCTGACATTTCTTTGACTTAAAACACTCCATTTTCTGTCAGATTTTCATAACGAACAGGATTTTCTCATAGTTATATTGTCGGCAGCAAAGAGCTCTTTGCCGAGAGCCCCAAGGATAGTGCAGCTATTAAAGGTAAGGACTGGATATACCAGGCTGCGAAGTTACGGAGTGCATGGATCAAAAGCAACCTCTAGCAGTTCAATAACGAACAGTACCATATACGCTCTTACTGCTGTGATATTTTGGGGCACTGGTATTTTCCTGTGCATGGAAGGTTTTCAGCACCAAGGACAGGTTTGCCTGTGTGTGGGAGGTTTTCAGCATCAAGGACAGGTTTGCCTGTGTGTGGGAGGTTTTCAGCATCAAGGACAGGTTTGTCTGTGTGTGGGAGGTGTTCATTCTACCATAGATCAACGTTGTATGCATTTTACATAATAATTTGTACAGGAGTCAAGTACTAAGTGTTAGGTCTTCTCTATAGGTCATAGGTCATGGACATTTCTCTGGAACAGTCTATTTTTTGGATGGGGAGGGGAGGGAATCACGGGAGGGGAGAAAATAAAGAATGAAGCAATAAAGATGGCATCTGTGTCATTCATTGTGTAAATTTTGCATTTTATTATTGAATTTAGTATAAAAACACACTGTTTAGTGCTTGCTTTTGAAGCCCAAATAGAAGTTTGTATTTCATGATAGCCGTTATAAACCTTGTTGCATAGTATTCTATTTGTTGTAAATTTCAGGAAATTCGGTCGAGGAAGTTTTGCCGGGAAGAGAAGGTTTCGTTGCCCAACAAGTCTGCTTGCAGTCGGCTGCCTGGTACAGATGCTGCACTCTGTCCAGGGACACGTGGAGGGTTCCAGAGTAGATGTAGCACAGAATCTCCCCAAACATGGCTGCATCCAAACCCTGTGGGGCAATATAATGTATTTACTGCACTGTAAGGTGTATTTAGTGCTATTTACTATTGCTTTATCCTACTTGAAGACACATACTTCTACAATGTACTTCTAGCTATGGTAAAATTTGAACCTTTTGAACTCGTGGGGTTGTGTGGAACAACGGCAGAACATTTGGATCAGAACCAAGAGGTCCCGGGTTCAAATCCCGCCAAGTCACCATATGATTGAAATTACAGTATCTTTAATATGGCTATTTCAGTCTGGCGTACATTCATCAACATTCGTCTGTGGCAAAATGTCATCGTTTAAAAAAGAATGCCATAAAATACTGGAGCAAAATTTTTGGGTGAGAAGGAGTCTCTTCTTTACAACAACATTATATAACAACTTTACTACTGATATCAATTATTTACTGATCTTGGTACACATTTATATAACTATTATATACATAACGTTATATATTATGTAAACAATACATAGAATCCCTAGAGGGACTAGTTTTGTTACACTTCAGCTGTGATTTGCGCCAAATTTACCTTCAAAACAACCGTCTTCTGACGACTCTCCGCCATATCAGATGTAAACATCGCCCGGAAATGGGGGCTGGCCGCGGACAAAACAAGCCGGTGACAGGGAAACCGGCGGCCCTCGACTTCAAGAACCACATCCTGGAGAACTTCGGCCTTCTGTTAGTCACTTACGGCTGCAAGAAACCCGTCGCGATAGCTTCTATCTTGGTAAAAACGAGGAGGAAGTGTTTTCACGTTAGTTTCTTGGCCAGCGGCAGCCATGATGATGATGCAGGAACTATACCTCACACTGGGACCTCGTTTCGGACCGCAAGTAGACAGGTCAGTGAGGGCCTCTAGCGATTCATCTTAGACTTGCAGTCACAGAATGCGGGTGTCACAGACAACGTAGGGTCCCAGTTTTCCGGTCTCCCCTTTACCATATATGGACATCTTTGCCATATATGGAGCGAAGGGTGCCATGACTCATAGCAGCAGGTTTGCACTGCAGTAATATCCTTCCGCAGTTAGGCGGCGCTTTTGAACCGGGAGCCGAAGCCCCCCGAGATGGGCTATGCTTTGCATAGGATCGAGAGTGGACGCCAGACACCAGCGCGAAACGATTCTCCCTTCGACCGGGGGACGCTAGACGGCCCGAGCCCAAAGTTGGCGGCCGGGCCTGACTCTAATTTATCTCTCGGGCGATAAATAACTTCAGGGAAGGATGCCAACTCAATGTGTGCCGTGACGGGGACCCGAGTGAGGCGAGTCAAGATATGATGGGAGCCGGTAGTGACACCGTCGTGGAGGACCGCCGGTTGACCAGCCGCCGGTCGGCCGGTAGCGACTGTGGGAGCGGGCGTAGACTAACCAGGACGGTACACAGGCTACCCGGTTGACGGGATCAACAAACGCTGGGCCCCCGGCGCTAGAAAAGACCGTCAAGTCCCCACACTAGGGTATTCTTCATTCCGTGTGTAGTAGCATAGATCACCCCGACCAATCTAATCTGGACATTGCTCCGAAATTGGTACATTCCTCACAAAATCGGACATTCCTCCAGGTTTGAGCGTACACTCCTCCAGGTGAGCGGACGTTCCTCCAGTACTTTTGAGCGTACATTCCTCCGGGTGAGCGGACATTCCTCCAGGTTTGAGCGTACATTCCTCCGGGTGAGCGGACGTTCCTCCAGCTTTGAGCGTACATTCCTCCGGTTTTGAGCGTACATTCCTCCGGGTGAGCGGACATTCCTCCGGTTTTGAGCGTACATTCCTCCGGGTGAGCGGACGTTCCTCCAGCTTTGAGCGTACATTCCTCCGGGTGAGCGGACGTTCCTCCAGGTTTGAGCGTACATTCCTCCGGGTGAGCGGACGTTCCTCCAGGTTTGAGCGTACATTCCTCCGGGTGAGCGGACGTTCCTCCAGTTTTGAGCGTACATTCCTCCAAAATCGGTAAACTTCTCCGCGTGATTGGATATTTCGCCGACACCCCCGCTGGCCCGTGGAATGATAGATGTAACGTGTACTGTAAGGCTTTGCATGCCATACACTCTCCTCCCCCGTATAGCGGCGGGCGTAGTGCTCTTGGCTACCTAAGGGAAACGGCTCACGGCCCGATACTAGTCTGGCTCCTACTAGCTTGTCCCGGGCCAAAGGGCTGAACTCAGTGAATTAAACAACAATCGTACAGCTTATTCCTATCGTTTTATTGCTTGTTTACGTTCTGGTTCATGTAAACGCGGGTACTGTAAACGCGGGTACTGTAAACGCGTGTACTGTAAACGCGTGTACTGTAAACGCGTGTACTGTAAACGCGTGTACTGTAAACGCGTTTACTGTAAACGCGTGTGCTGTAAACGCCTTTACTGTTAACGCGTGTACTGTAAACTGTAAACGCGTGTACTGTAAACGCGGGTACTGTAAACGCGTGTACTGTAAACTGTAAACGCGTGTACTGTAAACTGTAAACGCGTGTACTGTAAACGCGGGTACTGTTAACGCTGGTACTGTTAACTGTAAACGCTTGTACTGTAAACGCGGGTACTGTAAACGCGTGTACTGTAAACTGTAAACGCGTGTACTGTAAACGCGTGTACTGTAAACGCGTGTACTGTAAACGCGTGTACTGTAAACGCGTGTACTGTAAACGCGTGTACTGTAAACGCGTGTGCTGTAAACGCGTTTACTGTAAACGCGTGTACTGTAAACGCGTTTACTGTAAACGCGTGTGCTGTAAACGCGTTTACTGTAAACGCGTGTGCTGTAAACGCGTTTACTGTAAACGCGTGTACTGTAAACGCGTGTACTGTAAACGGGTAGTGGTGTAAACGCGTGTACTGTAAACTGTAAACGCGTGTACTGTAAACGCGGGTACTGTAAACGCGTGTACTGTAAACGCGTGTACTGTGAACGCGTGTACTGTAAACGCGTGTACTGTAAACGCGTGTACTGTAAACGCGTGTACTGTAAACGCGTGTACTGTAAACGCGTGTACTGTAAACGCGTGTACTGTAAACGCGGGTACTGTAAACGCGTGTACTGTAAACGCGTGTACTAGCAGCTTTGTAAACAGTTTTTGTCTATGTTTAGACCATGTCTATGTAGTGTTTTCAATGGGCTGACCTCAACGAAGTTCAACGAGGCTCCACGGAAAGTAGGACTCATCAAAAGGCTGTTTGATCCGAATCAAAGCTGCCACAGGGAGTCGGATAAGCCTCAAAGCATGTTGAGTGGTGAAATATCGTAATGTTTCCTAGCTAACAGCCATAACAGGGCACAAAAACAGAGGTAAAATGCTGGAGACTGGATCCTAACATCTGCTTGGAGATTACAGATAGGGCTCAAAGCAGATGTTGGGGTGACTGTTTCTGATTGACGGCTGGGCTTTTCTGTCAGTTCCAAACCACATAACCAGATGGACGTGATCGTGGTGCATTAGTCACCAAATTAGTAAGGATCGTATGTATTCCATAATATTCGTATGTTTATAGTAAGGATTCTATGTATTCCGTAAACTTCGTATGTTTCCTAGTAAGGATCGTATGAATTCCGTAAAATTCTGATAAATTCTTTGGCACCGCTGAATACCTGTTTGAAATGTTATTCTATTATATAAAATGTGTGTAAAGGTGCCTGGACCCTATTTGGGAAAACTTTCAACCTAACTTTGCCTAGCACCCAGGCGGGTCGTCATAATTAGATTACCAGCTTCACATTATTTAGACAGGGCCGTTTTTTAGCCTCTACCAGGCTTCAGAAGACGGGCGAAGGAGTAAAAATTGGCCAAATAGAGATAACATGCTGGGGGATTGGTCCGCTAGATACTAAGTAGTAACATTTTTGTCGCACCCGACATTTTGTTGCACTATCGAGCGGCCCAACTCCCCTGGCATGCTGTCTCTCTATTTGGCCTACTCGTGACTACCGTCTCCCGAAGCCTGGTAGAGGCTACCGTTTGGCACAGCTGTGTAAGCACATGGTCAGTTCAAAATGGCGCTTTCATAGGACGAGAATACTCGGTGCTGATTTTTTGGACAAATTTTTCAATATTTTTTTGAGTTTTCGTCGGTAGAACGTTTTACTACGTGTGCGACAGAGTGTTTGGGAGTTTTCGCCTTGGATTTTACGCCGTTTTGGTGATGTTTTGAAGAGAAAATGCGGATTCCTGACCTGGCGAATTTTGGAGAAGACAACATGGCGAGACAGTTGGGCATGCAGAGTAGCGTGGCATGGATGCGACTTCGCTCATTGTTGCAGGTAAACGAGCAAATTGTTTGGCTGACATTATTCCCTGTATTCTTCCCAACTTTTAGTACTTTCATGTCATTTTCCACAGAATCGAAAGGGCGTATTTCTGTATTAGAGAGCGACCGTTCCTAATTTTAGACAGGCTTTCAAAAAAGTCTATGAATTTGCCACGTTTTCAACAACATTTTCAATGTGCGGTGCGCTTGTAGAGTATTAAATGTATGTGTGCATGTCTTTTTAGTCAATTGTTCAGAGTTTTAAAGTTATATTTGTTGAAATTCAATTGAAAGTACATTGACCAATTTTTTTCTTTATTTCCACGTGGTTCAAAACACCTGTTGGAATGTGCCCGTGTACATAATTTAAGGCCACACCAAGTAAATTTTATGGATGACGTTCTTTGGAGACCCTAAATCTAATGCGAGAGGGCGAAAAAAAACAAGAAGGGCCCTGAAAAACAAGATGCCTAGATTAGAAATATACTAAGAGACGACAAATGTTAGGACACAAATTGAATGAGGTGACACAGTGTAACAAGCAACAAGTCTTTTATTCATCATCAAAACAGCAATAAATCAGGTGGAACAGCAGTTGTCGTCTTGTGCGTTGGGGAGATAGATGGAGCGGTCAGCAAGTTTCTTCAAATGTGGCAGCATGTACCAAACTGAATTCCTAATGGAAGTCATGATTTCCTTGCTTGATGCTTCATAAGCTTTGGTCCATACAAACCTATTTGCGGCACTGTCGTGACTCTTTGGTCATAGTTACAGGAAGTGTAATTTCTTGTGTGTTTTTTTCTAGGAACAGGCCAAAATCAATGCGCGCGCGGACGTCATCCATAAAATTTACTTGGTGTGGCCTAATCACATTTTTGATCATGCCGCTAAAAACTCGCGTAAACAAGATGGGGTCCGCAAAGCTTCAAGTTGCCGAAATGGCTACGATACAAAAACGTTTTCAAACTTCAGTCGAGTTGACCATACTTTCTTCATTATCATTAACAATATTTTGTATAATTTAAAAGCTCTTTCGTTTCAATTTTAGACTGATCCTGTAATTGCAATGATCAAGACTCAAATATTTGTGGCGCAAACACAGTTGACTACCCTGGAAAGTCGCAATTGATGTTTTCAATACATTTTGCGCCAAGCTTAATATGTATTCTACATAAAGTTTTAATTGAATGGGGTTTTGATTTAATTTATAATTGTTGGTGTTGCCATCCCAGTTTTTTATGGTCATTAGGCATAGTTTTCATCGAGGTATGTGTTTGTTTTAAAGTGAAGAAACTATTTCTTCTTTTCATAGAATCCTGTAGTGAGCTGTGTTCTGAGGGTCAGCAACCTGTGCAGGTGTTCAGTACTGATGCGATGAGACTTGTGATGACAGAGGCACTTAACTTAATGATCGGATACATCTGGAGTATTTGGCCAGGTAAGAAAAATCTAAATTCTGCAGTTTACCTACAGCTACTATTTGGTGTTATTGAGACAAGTGTTAAACTTGTAATGTCTGTATAGTTAGGTGGCTGCTGACTGATGCAGTAGTGAGGACTCCTGTCTGAACCTGACAAGACA